TAGGCCGGAACAATGCAGAGAAGGGCAGATCAAGAAAGGTGTAAGCCGATGCTTTTATGTCAGGCTGATATGCCACGTGGCGTCGAAACATCAAACTAGGCCGCATTGTCTTGAAATCCTGGCCAGGCATATTTTGGAAGTCTTCAATTGACCCCTCAAAGAATCGCAGTTATGGTGTGATTAATAATATTTATTGTTTCGGATTGTACTATGCCTAAAAGAGTTGAAGTTTATTTTCTGCAGTGCAAATTATACATAACCGAGTGATTTTTCGGTATTAACACTATGTAATCTTCCTCTTCCGTCTATGCAAGGCACCATTGGTTTTTCTGCCTGTAATAAAACAACAGAAAATAATACACAAAAAGTACATAGCTCATTGTGGCGATAATTCAGCAACGTCAAAATTGATAAAACTTGAACTCAGTAAATTTATCAAATAGGCGACATTGTGTTAAACGAATATAAAAATTAGAGCTATATAAGTATATACTGTCTGTCTTTAGTCATGAACGATATAATACAAAAACATGAAAGCTACATCAATGCGGTTTGTGTATGTGAGTTTTACACACAGAGGTACAGAACATAATGTGGGGAGATAGTCGTATCGAAAAGTGTTATAATAAGGTAGAATTTGTTAAGTAGGTTGTTAATTAGTGAAAGTAAGCTTACGGTTAAAAGTAAAAAAATTTCTCAGTGCAATTGCAGACCACTAAATCCGTAACTGAAAAAAAAATTGGCAGCGACCTTCACCTTCAAAGTTCTAATGTAAACGAAATCCTTTATTTGGGAATTGGTGAGGAACTCGGTGTCATGCAATATGCTTTCCCCGCTAAATTTAACCGGAGAATAAAATTGTTGTTGAGCTAACGTGACGTATGGATACGTGACGTTGATTTCCCCCGCCAAATTTAGCGGCTAAACGGGATGGGTGTCTGGGTCACAAGACGTGAATTTCCTGCTAAATTTAGCCGGGAATCTGATTTGATATTTTAGCACATGCCGTGATTTTTCTTACAAAATTTAGGGGTAAGCTGTGTTGACATGTCGGTCAGGTGCCGTCAATTTTCCCAAGGTGTATAGTTTACGTTACTTCATTTGACATTACGGGATGAGATCGTTCCCGCCAAACTAGAGGAAGAGGCTCGAACGGCCGGAGGGACGGACAACATCTTGGGATTATGGGATAGCATTAAAAATAATGTCAGGATCTAAAAATATTCTGAGTGTGTTGAAAATATGGCAGTCCGTTAAGATTACCACTCGTGCCACAAGCACTAATTTAACAGGGCAAAATTGCGGAGGATAGAAATTTGAAAAAGCCTTGCAAGCGCGTTTTGGAGCCTATTGCCTTGCATGTCTTGCAGAGGTGATAACTTAGCACACTACCGTGCTTCACAAGCGCTACAATTGTTACTAATATTGACTTGTTCAGTAGTTTTCGGTGACGCACAGCAAGATTTTCAATACAATAATGTATTTATTTGAGAAATTCGAATGTTATTTAACACATTTATTTAATTAACGGACTTCTGGCAAGGATTATCCTCAAACATTATGTCCCGGGTACGTATAGCTCACCAGCACAAGCTCCTTTTTTACGCCCATGAGGGCCGTTTTAAGTCTGGAAAAAAATATTTCTAAAAATATCGAGCGTTGCCAGAAGTAGAACTAAATTCCTACAAGTATGTCTTTCAGAAAGAAAAATACAACAGGAAACAAAAAGGAAGCCATCACGGACGTGAATGAATGCAAAATTGAACACAATAATTATTGAAGCAATAAAATAGCATACGATAATAATATTTTGTTAGTGGAAAATAACCACTTAATACAGCAAAAGCTTGATGAACACCACCGAAAGCTTTGAAATCAGCAAATACCAGGACGTGGAAAGCGGGGGGTGTACTAACTTTACCACACTTGCAGCAGGCGCAAAAACTTACAGACGTTACGATAATGCTGATGGTAGGGATATCGTCCGCATTTTGGCACCGCCAGCTTCTTTTTTTTTTATTTTGCTCTACGAGTAGAGACTTTGGTGCACCTTGGCTCTCACCGCGAGCTTTAAATCTTCCTAGAATTCATATGCAAGATAATGATTTTTTACTGCAACACTTTTAGTACCAAGTGGAATGCTGCCCTTTTCTCAAAACATCTTTATTTTGACATCCTCTGCTGCAGAGGTACATATTGTTCAATCTACACTTTAAAAAAGTTGTTATTGTTTCATAAGTGTTAACACGTGTGGCCACGAATGTCCCAAGCATCAGATGCCAATAAATGCAAACGCTCAACAGCAGCATAACATTTAAAAAATATATACGCGAAAATACTTTTGTTCTTTAAGAGCAAAAAATTAAAAATAATTAGGGGGTAGATTGATGTCAGCTACTTAGGCGAGACGCATACACGTATTGACACAGCACTCGACCACTTTTTAAACAGATCGCTTTGCCGTTGATAATGGGTGTTCTCTAAGCGAATGCTGGTGTACCTGACGCTACGTTTGCATGAGTAGAGTTGGTTGGCTAGAGCACTCGGTGTTGCAGGTTACTTTATATGACGCATTGCACCATGCATTGCCTCTCTTTAGCAAAAACAAGCAAGATGTACTTTCTGCGTTGATGGGAAATTATTATCGTGTCTGCATCCGTTAGCTAGCTCTGTGTTCAAATAAATAAGGGTAGGAAAATATTTTTCATCACAAGCACTTTATAAACGCTTCAAAACATTGTGCGTCTCTAGAGCCAAATCCATTCTCTTTTCTCTTTAAAAAGTGAAAATTTCTAAGATTAGTTTGCCTTCTATTAGATTCCAGTAGTTGAATGCTCCCATAATGTCAGTTGTAAAAAGCACAAGACTTGAAAACTCGTGCTTTGGTGTAGATTAGAATATCATATTCATATCCAGAATAAAAGCTTTTGGTCACAACACGGCCCTAGAAATTCAAAAACACATGATAAAAAACCAATAACGTAATGTGCAAAGAAAAGCGGTGCGTATAGTGGATTCCCAACTGCGCTATATCCGGTGAAAATAACATTTCAAATAAACGACTTCAATGTAGTCACCAGTTTTTTTAACCTTTTTTATTGCACCAAATACATTCCTAAACGCTCTTTTGGTGATTGTTTGTTTCGTTCGCTTCTATTTCTGAGTCATTCGTTTCTGTCTATAGCTCAGTGTCTGCATCAGGTTGCGAAAAACAATATCAGCTACGAATATCCGCCAAATCGTACCACACTGTAAAGAGACGTTTACCAGGGCTCGAAAACTTAATATACTTGTCCTAAAAGTAAAATATGTCCCATCACGGTGTGTCTCGTGATCGACTAGGATTTAAACAACATGTATCCTTGAATGCAAGGTGAAGTCCCCAGTTCACCAACATGGTAAACGTTTATAAGTGCTTCGCTCTTTGCAGAATATATTAGATGCCATTTAGTGTTTTTTTAGGTGCTCCCTTCTAAAAGCTATTCAAAACAAAATTCTATTTTTGGTTGGCTTTAGCTTTTATTGACCCAAGTAAGGTAGTAAAGAGATTGAAACACCGAACAAATAAGCTTTTGTTAAAAAGACCGAAATTTACCTCAAAAAGTTCGCCTTTAACAAAACTATGCCCCATTTTATGGCCAAAAGCTAAAGAGCTCACAGTAGAAGGAAAGATTCTATCTTTTCCTTTCATTCACTCCCTCAGACTTAAAAAAACAAATGCAACAAAGTATTAAAATGTCCTAAGCCCGAGGACTCCACGCAAAAATCAGAAAAACGTAAAAATGCAATGAGCCCCTCTTTAAAGCCACGTACCGTTTATTAGAAGGTGGGAACCAGGGGGGCTATGTTCGACAAATGTTTTGTTTCTCTTAAAGAGAAACGGAAGTGACGTAAGTGATGATATCGCGTCTGATTGGTTCGAGGCTGAAATGACGAAAGAGGGAACTTTCGTCATTTGAGCCTTTAGCCAATCAGACGCGATATCGTCACTTCCGTCATTTCCGTTTCTTTTTAGGAGAAACGAAACATTTGTCGAACATAGCCCCCCCCCCCCCCCCCCCCAGGAACCACTGTACAATGGTCAAAGAAGTGATATCGTGGAGCGTGGAAGTCATTTCGTAAGATGGCGAACGTCGGAGCGCGGTCAGCGCCAGGAGCGTACGACTTAATCAAAGAGCGTAGAGAGTGCTACGTCACTCCGCTCATCAGCATTTTCTGTGAGTGCGTTTTTACCTACTTATCCAGCGCAACACAAAAACTGGGCCGTGAAGTTGCGGTTTTAGTCCGCCATTGAACAGCGATTCCGCAACTTCCAACAGAGTGGAATCTATCGAAAGTGGTCTATTGGATTACAGGGTTAAAGTATAAAGGGTCAATCGTGGACGTCCTCTGCGCTTACAAGAAGAAATAAAGGTGGATATTTCACAAAATGTTAAGAGCTTAGAGTTAAGTAGTTAGACGCTAACCTATTTTTTTCTTTTCCTAGTTGTCACCGTAGATAGCCACTTACTTGATGGCTTAAGACAACACTAAAACTAGACAGCTTTTCAGACAAATTTAACGTGGTGAAAAAAAACAGAAAACTGCATAGAAGGGTTCGAGTTTTGTTATAATGTCGATGGCCAGGGAGCCAATGCAATGATACACCAACAAACCATACGTCAGCTTTGGGGTGTTTTTGCATCTGTGTTTGTTTTCTGGTTGATTTTAAATACCATGACGTACACAACGCACTCTCAACACTTTCAAATTTACTTATGCTTACAAATCAATCGATCACAAATACTACTGCAGACAGACTAGCCTAACCTGCTATTAAGATAAAGATAATCACAAACCTTCAACTTCGCACGCGTTTTTCCCTTTTATTTTTTTTTATTCTCATATTCTGTACAAAACACAGCAGCATTCACTTTAAGAAAGGTAATATAATAACTGGAAGATCAACGAGTATCCACTATCTTGGGGAATTGTAGTTGCGAGAAATATATAAAAATATCTTACATTAGGCAGCCTTTCATCTGGTCATAAACGCAGTAAGAAAATACAGAGCGTCCTGGCATATTCAATACAGGTGTCATCACAAATCCTGCACTCGGGCCGCAGTAAAGACCAGCATTTCCTGGCGTAAAGTAACTTGCACGATCTCCTTCGTGTTCCATTCCCAATCTGCATGTTTTAGTGACAAAGACAGGAGCAAAAGCATGAACAGCACAAACTAAAACGATAAGTACGGTACTTTTTTTACCAGGATCTCAAACCGAACCGGCACCCGATTCGAGAACCATATGAGAGACTGGAAATTGTGTCGAGCTGGAACAAGATCGATACAGTGTCGAACATCGAGCTCCCGGAGACCAATCAGCCGTTTTGCTCTGTCTTAACTTTTGATAAATTTAAAGAATGCTATCAGGCCTCGAAGCCAATTAAATTACATGTGAGTGACACATGACCTTTGAGAGTGGCGCTGCGATGAGCATGTGCGGAGTCTAGACTTTCGCAGCGCTCAACTGCAGGGATGACTCGTATCGGTCCCCGGAGTACATTGTAAGGCTAAAAAGTATGGTTTGTAAACACTCTCTGGAAACGCTTTTATATATATATATATATATATATATATATATATATATATATATATATATATATATATATATATATATATATATATATATATATATATATATATATATATATATATATATCTGTACAAATAGAGCCTCCAAGTATTTTAACTTTTTTATGAATATTTAAAGAGAAGTTTGGACAGCTTTTTCCTTCTTTGTGTTCAGTAGGGTTAGGCTGTTTTTTTTAAACGGTGACTTTAAGAGTACGGTGCGCTCAGGCGTCGCCTGCGGGTACTGCACTTGGGTTGTGTTTTTAAGCTCCTAAATGGAGACCTGTACTTTGCATAAATTGTGTTTGTGATAAAACATGAAGATCGCCAAACCCCCCCCCCCCCCCAAAAAAAAAAAAAAAAAAAAAAAAAAGCCCATATTTTTTCTTGTTCCGTTTTATTCACCGGGATTCGATTAATATCTTTATTTTGAACCACTGAGTACTGAATCAGTTTTTTTTCAATTTCTAAGTATAATTGTTGATATTAGAAATCAGCACCCTCTAAAGACTTGGTATACAGCAAGAATATACTTAACCTCTATATAGTATAGTAGATATTGAACGTGACCATAGGGTAATACTAGGCGTTTGAACTGCGCAAGATTAAACAAAGACTGCATATTTTTATTGCACGCACGTTTATTGCACACAAGGAACATTTCTGTTATTGATGATGCTGTGGTCAGTGGGTAAGATATTCTTCAAAGCACGGAACACACATGCCGACATCACAATTCGAGCACTGCGTGCGCACAACACTGACACAGTTCTCCCCTGCACACCTTCGTGGCTTGTTCCCGGGAACCAGGCAAACGGAGTGTGCAACTTGGTCGAAGCGTATGTCAACGAGGAATCGGCCGCATGTTTTTGATGCTAATGGTTTGCCCGCTCATTTCGGTTTGTTCTGTGAGCGCATAAGATACGCCTCTGCAACTACACTTCGGTAGTCAAGCTGCGAGAAGGTGGATCCATTGCCCTGAATTAGCGCCCACCCGTTGTTAATGGCTACATTACAAAGCCGAGTGGATATCGGCCACCTCCATATTTTGCCGCGAATCCGAATTCGATAATCCCCAATGCTAGAGTCCATTAAGTCAGTACAAGCCCTATCCCCCTCTCCTTATTAATTTGTTGTACTGAGCAAGAAAGTTCAGAGGGTACACCTTGACGCGATTCCTCTCAGTGCAGGAATACCGGTTCCCGGAAGACACTGTCTCCACTCCATCAACTGTGAACGCAACCGTAGCAATACAACTGTCCACCCAGCGCACTACGAGAATCATATCGTCTCTTAGCATATGTTCCTGAGTTCCGCGCGGCTTGCGCTTCATGACTTCTGCCCGACCGATTGGTCGATCCTTTGGAACACGGTCTTGACGCACCGTACCCGTTCCTCCGCAACCTTGTTTTTTTAGATGACTGAAAAGGTTCATGCCAGTGAGTACGTTTTCACAGTGAAAGAGAAGGGAGTGTGACAGATTTATTCTGGTAGTTCGTTGATAATGTGCAGCATTAACGTAGCTGCCTTCCCAAAGTGTTTGTTAGCTGCCGGTATGGTCCCTTGATGCACTTCGAAGTTCACGAGGTATTCGTTTTTTCTGTTGAAGCACCTCGATTTATATTCGAAGCGAATCGGTTTTCCACGGAGGAACTGCTTGGATCCATGTTGGCCTATGATACGCAATCATATTTTCATCGTAATTGAGCTGGAGCACGGTTCTGAATTGCTCATACACGTCTTCTTCAGGAGATCCATCAAAGGCAGCAGCTTTGCCACCTTGTCGTCCTTGTTCAAGTTTGCGTTGTCAGCAAAATATACAAACAACGTTATTTATATAAACCCGTTTCTACGCATGGCATTGTAGACCATCTCATTCTGCATGTCACTGCCAGTGTCCCAGTAAATTTTTTTTTCGTGGAAGCTGTTGTATCCGGACAGAATCAACACACCAAGGAAGCACCTTATGTCCTCTGGAGTTAATTTTGGGTCAAGTCGATTCAGAAATAGGGTAGTACTTTCTCGATTCTTTGACCAAAAATCTAACGTCTGTGTCATCATAAAAAAGCGCAAACAACTGAACAAGTGACAAATCACTGTAGTAATTGAAGTCAGAGTCAGGAAATATCACATCGTTTTCTTGCAGGTCTCCAGCAGTTCATCGATGAATGTGCGTCTTTTTTTATTAGTTCCTTGTGCACAAGGAGAGGACGCACTTAATGGGTCACATTGGTTGTAATTGTCCTCTTCTGTTACATCGGCGTCATTGCCTCCAATTCGCCATCCATCTGCCAGCACGGACTCAGCACAGGTCCTCAGCTGCCTGCCACTCAGGTTGTCAAGCGATCAACCGGAATCTTCATCAGCAGTCTTCATCTGAGTAGATTTTATATTCAGGAGGTTCAATGTAGATGTCAGACACGTCTCCCTCGTTGTTTTCAAGTATTTCTTTTATTTCTTGCAGTGTCAACCTGAACAAAGGCCAAAAGAGGAGCCTATCAAAACAAAAAATAAAACAGTAGTCGAAGGCCAAGCGTGACCGTATGGTAACATGCAAATGACAACGACTGGTTCTGCCTACAAACGGTCCCGATCAGCCCGCTACTTTATCCAGAGGTCAAATAAAGCCATGTCCTGTCAATTACGGGAAAACCTTCGCGGAAAGCTTGTTGAGAACTTAAAATAAAGCTTACTCACGTGAGCGTGTCATTGCGCCAACTTTGAAAGACGAGCTCTGCTTTCGGTTACTCCCACAACAGGACGCTAAAAGATGGGAAGGTGCTGGCACCTGGTGAGCTTATAGTGAATCATGGTTTATTCAACTACACAAACAGTTGAAAGTTTCTGCTGATATATTATTATTAGTGAAGACAGATTGTATTTCCTGATAAGCGTGACCGTATGGACACGCACGGCATTAAGGGGTTAATTCTTAAGCAGATGATGCCGGAGGAAAACACTTTTTATCTCAGAAACAAAACAAAAAATATATACCGCCTCACTTTTTTATTTTTTTTTTTAGCGGGATGATTTTTTAATGGTTACTGTTTAACGACTAACTTGAGGAATGAACGGATGCTGTCACGATCGCCACGAGGAGGTACGCGGAACTCCGTTTGCAATATTTAAGAATTGCGATATGCAATAGATCATTTTTGTTTTAGCAGTCAGTATATACTAACCGATGACATAAAACACATAAAAAATCGAGTCGTTGGTGTCCAACTCCCTCCTAGCGAAGGTGTTTTACGCTGCCTTGATTCTGTAAAACGGCAAATTGCTTGGGTAGTTGGTTGTTGCTTGTTGATTGCTAGATGGTTGTTGAACACCATTATTAAAATATAGCAAAATGACACAACAGAAGTCACACCAGATCTATCCTGCGTCTGTCCTGTGTACCCCTTCTAATTTCGTACCGTCCTTTTGCGTTGTTTTTAATAATATCGCATGACCTTCAGTAGCTCGAGCATTTTTGTCACTGCGACTTACAGATACTGTATAGGTTCGTGAATGAAAGGGTGAATGTGTTTACCTCTAAAAAAGAAGTACGATTATATTTTTGTTTGCTACAGATGCCGAAGACGAAGATGTCAGTACCACATTCAGTTTAATCCGAGTAACGTTGTTTTTTTTCATTATTTTCACTTGAAACCACTTCAACTGCATTCATAATAAATATGCGTTCTCATTAGTTGCAAGATTTCAACAATAAACTTTAAGTCTTACTGGTGTTTTCTGGTCCTGTTGGTTTCAGACGCAGAGGGACATTCACAAAATTGTGGATAACATTAATAACTAGAAAAAGCATCCGCCGAATGGGGTTTGACCTGTAGGGTTACTTGTTTTTATTTACGGTTTGTCAAGAAGGCACGGTGTTTAATCTCATGCAATGAAGGTCATGAAAAAAATGAAGATGATTCAAAGCATAGTTCACTCTTCACATAAAATTCGTTTATTCATTGTTTCCTACTGATAAAAGTGTTTCGTAAAAAAGAAACAACCTCTTCGGCTGTACTTGTTTATGTTTTGAATATGTTTCAAACAGAATTTTAACCCCCAGACTCTGTTTTTAAGCACACAATATTATGGTAAGGTTACTTTATTTGTTGAAATTCACAAGACTATATATATATATATATATATATATATATATATATATATATATATATATATATATATATATATATATATATATATATATGCATGGCACGGTACCCTAACGCAGTCCGCGAGTGTTGAGTAAAAAATTATATGGGGTGTTTCTGGTCCTGTGAAATTATATTTTCGATAATAAAGTTGTTGTGTGCTATTTATGTAGGGTAAACATAAAGCATTCAAAAAGAAACTTACTGGTGACCAAGCTCATGGGCTATAAGTAGTGCAGCTGTTCCTTGGGATAATCCTCGAAGCGATTGAACGGTTACTTTCTGGTACGAGCAGACACCACAGATAAAAGTGCATCCTGAAAATAAATATCATTATAACAATTATTGTGCTATCAGGACCGATATTTTGATGTTTTCAGAATCGCGAAAATCAACTTCGCGCAAAGGCCGGGTGAGGTCAAGGGTGCGTCGTCGGGATGCTGTGGTATCCAATCTAAGAAAGTGCAGGATAATAGTTTTGCTCATTAAATAATATTTAAAACTCAACATGGTACTGCATTTAGCGCGTAAATGAACTAGATTTATATATATAAATATTATTCAAAATGTGCAGATGAATTAATCGCACTTGATTGAATGAATCAAAAGTTTCAAAAAACCGCCAAAAGTCAAATTGAACGGCGGAATCAGAAATTCAACTCTGGACCTCTCACTCTCCGGGCGGGTGGGCTATCAAAAGCACAGCCATCGTTTTATTAAAAGCAAATATGACTGGATTAACGTACCTATTGCTCTGTCCTTCGGACTAAACGGCAAACTGAAAACAAGAAGGAAGGGTAGGTAAATTATAGCATTTTAATAAAAAAAAACAAATACATTACGCTCTGAAACAATAATCACACGTGTCTGCTCAAATTATGGCTCTTCACGTATCTCATGCGGGTGCTAAGGCAATATCTATTATGCATTAATATTTTCACCCATGAACACCACTCTTTTTTTTTTTTCACTGGGCAATTGAAGAAAAAAAACCTCTGTCTAGGTCACGCCCAAAAATAACCTACGCATTCTCGAACGCTTAGTTTCTGCCCAAATATATAAGATGACAATATTGCAAACATTGAGGTTGGCACAAGATGCAGAGGTTTTAAAGCCTTCTGTTTGTACCAAATGCCTACGTTTGAAAACGCGCAGTTATTTTATGCGGGAACATACATGAGATTTCCAAATTTACAATATAAAAGCGAGTCCAGATTTTGGTAGCACGGGACATTAAGATCTATCGATTTGCAAATCCCGTTGGACGCAAACTAAATTTTGAAATCCGCAAAAATGTATTTATATTTTTGAATCGGTTAACGGTAAGATTTGAAAGCTTGCCATCTGATCAAAACACCTTAAGGTATATTAGTATGTAAAAGAAAGCTAGACTGGGTGTTGTTTAATTTTAATCTAAGAAACCAGATATTTCTCTCAAAGCCTCGTATAGTCGAATCAAAACCGGAAGAAAGAGGAGTTAAATACGTAATACCAGAGTTTCTGTTACAATTTTGTATATAAATATACAGCCGTACAGTGCTGCTTGAAACAACTCGTATATTCGCATGCCAAATCTACAGCCTACTCTAAGGGGTGCAAAAAAAAATGATTCGGCGTGGTCAAACAATGCCGGCTTTATTCGTCAAAGAAGATCAGTCCCTATCTTTTTTGTTTTAATTTTAAAAGCTTTTAAGGAAAACGTAAATAAAGGTGATGCCAAAATTAACATCCGGATTCCCATCCGTTTTACAATTCCGTAATGTCAGAGAAAGGCAGTGGTGCACGTCGAGCAATCACTCTAAATCTGACCAGCGTACATACCCGAAACTCAGCTTGTAACCAGCTGAGTGTGGAGAGGATTCCTTTCACGGCAAAAAAATGTTTTGTAATTAGTCGGGAAAAAAGCTCCAATAACCGAACACTGAATATCCACTTAGCATTGGTGTCAGTTCGAGTTTCAGCAAAACGTTCATTGGAAGAAACAAAGCGTTAAACCTCGTGCATTGCTGTATTAACACCATTGTGCGCCACATGAGCGCACAGAAAAATATTTGGGGATGGAGTGAGAGGATGATTGAACGGAAAATTGATTAGGTTTAGTTGTAGCAGTGCACTCTAACAAATCGACGGAGTTCTGGCGTTCTCGTCATATAACGGTGGATGAACTATAGGAGTGCCCCATTTTTTCACCGAGACTAGTACTGGCTGTTGTCTCGGCAGAGCTACACACAATGTGACTGCCTTTAATATTTTGGTTGATTTCCTTCATCCGCACCCCTACCCCCAAGGTAGTAACTGACTGGTGCTGGGATCCTGCTTTATCTAAAGTTTGCACTACTAAGACGTTCAGTAAACAAAAAAAGAGAAGTGGATATACTTTCCCAGATTGTCGAACTCAGACACGCTTCCACACTGGACATATAATATTATTTCAGAGGATTGTCTTCTGTTAGTTCTCACAACGGACGACATTGTAAGGCCACCGGTTCCTGATGCATTCATGTCCATCTTTATTATGTCAAGGTATTTTTAAACCTAATCAAAACTTTTAAACGAGACTTCTCTTCCGTCGAAAATGATATCTCTTTTATTGCCTTATTTTCTTTATCAGGACCACTATACTTTGTAGCAATTAAAATGTGGAGAAGTCCTCAAAATTTTCTAATTGTACCTTACACTCCATGAATAAAGTCGGGACAAACAAAACGCGCATCGTGTATCTAGGAGCCGCTTGCAATTATATATTGCCGCGCGCAGACTTGCAGAAAGTTCTTGTTTATTCTTGCTGCGAACATTACTTCTGTCGTTTATCCCTGCTTTTGTTGTTCTAGAAAGTGCGTGCTCATAATCGCCCTGAGCACACCACGCTCGAACTTTCCCCGCCGAATGTTGTTGTTAAGACGTTTATTGAACCAAGGGATTACACCAGGAACAAAAGTCCGTGCGACGCGGTCGCAGCTATGGCGTGGCGTCTAAGTCCCTAGATGAAAAGGGGGAAGGGGGATGAGGGTTACATCGAAGTTGCTAGCCCACTTCGCCACACAAAGTCGAGGAGCGAGGTCAGGATTCGCGACCGGCGCTCGCAATCACCGGGGGGGTGCATCCAGTCATCATAGCAAGTCGGGCGTTCATCGTCGCGCAGAAAGGACCAGGCTGCGGTGCGGTGTGCTGCCATTGCTGCGCAGTCCCAAATTAAATGATGAAGCCTGGGTAAGGACTCCGGGTCTTTGCAGCACTGGCAGCTGGGGTCCGGGGTAGGATAATATGGATCAGCTTCTCGCTTGCGGTTGGTGTCAAACAATTGAAGCAGATAGGGAGTGAGGGCCCCTCCGGTACGGATCCGACGTAGGAGCACTATCTGTGATCGCCGGAAGACCCCGCCGGAAATCGGGAACTGCTCCAGAGTCCAGGAAGAAGCGAGGCGGCGTCTCCATTGAAGTTTGAGGAGGCGCATCTCTTCATCAGGATCGTAGGCGGTCTCATCTGCGGTAGAGTCAGGAGACGGCGACAGCGAGAGGGAGGTGGGAGACTGCGAGGAGGGGCAAGTTGAGGCTTATTCATCTCCTCCATCACGGCTCCGTGGGCCCGCTCGTTACCGGCGACGCCCGCGTGCCCTGGTATCCAGCGGATACATGTGCGGATGGCGTAGTTCCGGTATAGGCCGAGGGCAGTCTGGAAGATGCGCGAGACTGTGGGGCTGTGTGTCAGGTGTTGCTTCTTAAGGGCACGGATGACGTATTGGGAGTCAGTATAGATCGTGAGAGTGCCGTCACGGGGAGCGAGGTCGGGCGCCTCACGCGCATGGGTTTCGTGAGTCCGGAGTGCGAGGAGCACAGCACGCGCCTCGGCAAGTTCCGGAGAGGAAGGTGAGTTGTAGGTCTTCGTGTACACGGAGGGAGAATCGAGGGACGTCGGGTGTGGGCGGAGAAAACTGCAGCCACTGCAGATGCGCCGGAGCTGTGGCAAGCCGCGTCGGTATAAGCTACAGTGTTGGACGAATCCTGAAGAAGAAGGTTGAGCTCAGCGTGGTGTTGTCGAACGTAATGTTCTCGTCTTGGCGCATGGCGTTTGCTATTCATGTTAAGAGGAAGTGGACTGGAGTGTTGTGTGAGATCGATCAGTTCCCAGGGTGGCTTGGCGGGGGGGAAGTCGTTGTCGGTGGAGACAGCGACTCCGAGCTAGCGTGCTATCGCGCGGCCTTGAGGTGTATGCTGGAGGCGGGCGGCATGCAGCTTGATCTGCTTCTCTAGGGTGTCTTTGAGATCGATGAGGTGAAGGCATTTCCGGACTTCGGCGATGCGCGTGATGCGAGGAAGTCCGAGGATGGTACGGCGGGCCTCGTTGTAAAGGGTATTGAGCTTTTCCCAATGTGTGCGCTTGAGGCGGTAAAAACAGGCCGCGTAGACGACTTTCGATACGAGGACTGAAGTGACGAGGAGCTTGGCAGTGCGTTCGCCTGCGCCACCGAGCCGATGCGAGATGCGTCGGATTAGGTGTAGGCCTTGTTTCCAGGTTTCGGAGATTGTCTTGACCCATTCTGTGGTGACGTGTGGGCCGTAGCCAAAGTGGACACCTAAGGTCTTGATGCTGGGAGCTTTGCCCACGGGTTGATTATTGAACTTAAGGCCGAGATCGAGGTTCGCATGTCCCTTGCCGAAGACGGTATACTTGGTCTTCTCTGGTGATGGTGCGAGCCCGACGTGGTGCAGATGGTTATTGATGGCTTCTAGGCCCTGTTGGAGCGCAATTCGTTACGTGGAGGAGTTGCCTTCGCAAGTCCAAGTAGTAATGTCGTCGGCGTATGCCGAGGCGCGGAGGTGCGGAATTCCGTGTAAGGTCCAGAGAAGGGGGGCCATGACGATGTTAAACAGCGTCGGAGAAAGTACCGCTCCTTGGGGTACGCCGACGTGGTTCAGCCTCGTGTTGCTAGCCACTGCATCGGGGCCGCATCCTGACTTAACCACGTACTGGCGGCCATTAAGGAAGGAACGCACAAAATGGAGCTGTTTGCCGTCCAGGCCTTGCTCGGACATGGCAGAGACGATCGATGCGTGGGGAACGGAGTCAAAGGCTTTTCGAATATCCACCGTGACAAGGACCCGAAGCTGTGTGCTAGTGACGTGGCGGTCGACGACTTTTTTGTAAATCATTGCCAGGCTGTCGTGTGTACCGAGGTTCTTACGAAAACCCGTTTGGGTGGGGTGGAATATATTGAGCTGTTCCGCCTGCCACTGAACGCGGGCGAGGACCATACGCTCCATGAGTTCGCCCATGATAGATGTGAGCGATATGGGCCGCACGTTTTTGGGGTCTCTCG